AGTTCATATTTTCAAAAATATTTTTTTCGTCGAAGAACAGACTACGCCACTGTATTCTACGTAAACAGTTCTACAAGAATCAGTTTTCACCTTCTCGATATCATCCATAATAACGGAGATACGGTAAACTTGGGTAGCATATTTTGCAGAAAAAAAATAAGCAAAAAAGTTCGTATAAGCATATGTTCTAAAATGCTTAGTTTCGGAGATACAGGGTGTATACAATATTGACATCAAAATCAAATTTCTCATGTCAAAAAACTCCCAGGCACCAATTTTCATCCAAATATTGACATTACTTCATAAATTATTTCGAAAAAAGAAAAAATCGAAATAAAAATGAAATCTACACCCTGTATTTCCGAAACTAAGCATTTTAGGAAATATATTTTTACGAACATTTTTACTTATTTTGATCTGCAGAATATGCTGCCAAAGTTTCCGGAATACAGTTCGGACCACTATGTATATTATTATTATTTGCCCTTTCGAGGGCCTAATTTTTTCGGGAAACATTTTAATAAGGTACATAAGGTATAAATACATATGTAGGAACTTTTTGTTTTATTTCTATCTGTAGTCACCCACCGAAATTAGATACACAGTTTTTTGAAACCCTGTATATTTATATGTCAGCATCCGGTTGACTTGATCCAAGTACACTTCGACCGTGTCAATCAGGCTATAAAGATGAATATTTTTTAAACTTTTTTTAGTTTTAAAAATTCATTGCATTGGATTCATATGAATATATGAATCCTACTTTTGAGAGAATAGAATGATATTAGATAAAGAAATGAATAACTGATTCTTGCAATAATCTTCTGAAAATTCCATAAACAGCACAATGGCAGAAATATGTACCGTATGATCGAAAAAAAATGGCGTCCAGTTGGCTTAGAAATGACGATCGATGACATTTCCCATACAATTTTACATATAAAATGACAGCGATCTTCATTTCATAGCCATCGCTGACGCCGTTTTTATTCGATCATACGGTATTTATCGAATATTGGGTCAGGTGAATAAAGTCAAGTAAACGCTTTTACTTTAAAGTTTTTAAGTTATTACTCGTTACTCGGAAATTGAATAATAAAAGTACTTACTCATGCTCGAAAGTAAATACTCTAACTCACCTTAATACCAAGTAAATACTTAAAATTCGGTGAATAAAATAAAGTAAAGGCTCCCACTTGTAAGCAAGTTCTCGTTTTTATGTAAGGTAGGTCCGTGCCATATTTGACATATGAATTTTAAGCATAATGCCTGCTTTTATGCATGTACGTGCGATTATAGAGAACGTAAAAAAAAACCACAATGCTTGTAAAAAGTTATTACGATTCATAAGTGACAGTGTTGATTTCATAAGTGATTATTTTCTAAATAATGATGTCATAGAAAATCGAGGTGAGGCCCTAACAAATAGGATGAAAATGGAAATTTTCTTACGCTATCTCAGTGATCCGGGATTTCAGAGTGGTGTTGCTTATGATTTCGGAGTTGATCGAATGACAATTTGTAAAACAATAAGTAATGTTATGGACTCATCATCAATAGATCCCCCGACTGGATTAAATTCCCATCAAAAACTGAAGAAATAAATACTGCGACAACCAAATGGAACTCGAAATTCCAAATACCCACAGTGGTGGGTGCAATTGATTGTACCCATATTGAAATAAAAAAGCCAGTACAGTTTGGAGACGATTATGTTAATAGAAATGGCAGAACGTCAATAAACGTGCAAATGACATGTGATGCCGATGAAAAGATAACAAGGGTTTTTTTAGGGATGACTTCATGTTATTTAATAACTTTTTCAGTTGACTGACAGTTATTTCCTTTTCAGTATGTTGTATGTATTCTTTTTTTATAGCTATCCATGCTTTTTCTTTGCGTTCCACCACTTGTGGTGACATAGACTTGTCCAGGACAACTGTATTGGTTTTTATTATATTTGCTAAGACCGCTCTACTATCGCTACTCACTTTGTTTGTGCAATCATCGTCATTATCACTAGAAGCTAAAAATATTACAGGCTACGTATATATTTTGTTCTTGAGAAGAATAAAAATATCTGACAAAAGAATTTGAAGGGTTCCAAACTAATAACGATCTAACGAGTAAATACTTGCGAGTAACGTTGCGGCAACAAAAGTAAACTCTCACAAGTAAAAGCACTCTCTTATGCACATGTTGGGCGGGCAGATACTTTACTCGAGAGTAAACTCTTATAAGTATTTCCTTGTTTTTATTCACCTAACCCATTAAAACTAATTTGCGAGTTCCTCGAGTTTCGTTAGAAAAAAACACGATTAAGTCCATGTGTATCTTTATGTGTATGTTATACCGGATGGTGCATCGTCGTTGGAAACACAGGCAATCGCATGCAAATTTTTAACTGTCCAAATATTGGCTCCCCTATTCATTTTACTAAATAGAGGTTTTAAAGGTCAGCATAAGATGAATACACATGTCAAATTGAACAATTTTCGACGAGCCGATTTTAAGTAATTAAAGAGAAACTGCATCTATTTAAAAAAAATGAATACGTAATAATACAAAACCAGGCAAATGCCAACGTATCTTAAATTTTCATTCTATAATTTTGTCAAAGGTCAAATTGTATTTTCTAAATGTTAGGCTTTTGCCTCATCAGAGTTCTAATATTGATTGACAGATGAGCGACATAAAAACGCATTTTGCACTGGTTAATTTGCTGACCAAAAAAGTATAAAGTATTTTTCAAAAATTGTGTTCCGTAATAACAAAAATTCCAGATTACTGGTAGAAACAATACAACCTTTATTGAATGTGTACTTAACTAAAAAAAATATGTTATAAAAGACATAATTTTAGGAAATTTGAAGATAGTATATTCAAGATATCTTTCCCATTTTTAAAACGACCATTCTATTATCCCAAAATTACCTTCTTTATTATAAAATGTATAATATAGAATACATTTTTATATAGTAGCTAAACAAAATAATTATTATAATATACTATTACTGTTATAAATAAGCGTAATTAATTAGTTTAAGTATATGTAGATAGTTTAAGTTATTTTAAAATAATAATAAGCATTAATTCTCCACTATTGTTATACATATTTGATATGAAATTATACAGGGTGAGTCTTAAATAAGTGCAAATATTTTCAGGGCTAGTAGATCTCGATAAAAGAAACATATCGTCAGTGAAACGTGATAACCTGCTAACTGCATTTTTGATTTTAAGTAAATAATACTTTTAATACATAATTTTTAAGTAAAATTTTTAACGAAATATTGATTTTTACTGTTTCCTCCCAACAAATATTAGTGTTATCTCTTTATCATATTAACGCAGGAATATACTTGCTGCATGTGTACATATTTTTTGTGCCGTTTCTTTTCTCTCCTCTAAAATTAGGAATAATGGAGTTAGCAGTTTATCACATTTCATCGACGATATTTTCTATTTACCGTTTTTCAAGTAAGTCCAAAATAACTTAGATATTTTACTTTGAAAATTAAAAAAAAAATGATTTTTATCTATCGTGTAATGTCGATATTTTACAGCTACTCCAGTTTTTAGTATATGTTAGTATGATCCTTGTACCATATACGAGATGCACTTATCTACGACGAGATGGTATACAAAGTTTATTGATGGTAACTTTATTGGTGTATAAGACTTTCTGCCTGGGCAGCGAGTATTAACTATAAACTGTGGTCTCGGTCTACAGTTAATTTTCCCTCGATTTTTCCTCCACTTGACTTCAAAAGACACAAATCACACGTAATAACACGAATCAAAATGCATCATCTTCCAAAACCCAGGGTATTTGACATAAGTTGACACAAAATTATAACCTATAATTTGGCAAGACTCAAAAATCAACAAGCCTCAAAAATCTAAAGGCGAGTTCATACGTATCGACGTCCGTTTGTCGTTCATCGTTCCGTCAAACCAATAAAATTGAAATATGATCTGTCATTTTTGAAATATACTAATAAAACTGGTTAAAAACAACAAGAGACGACGCATGACGGATTTATATTTAAACACATCCATAATTAACTTAAAAAAATTATAAACTTTTTTTAGTCAAATAAATAGAATGGTATGGGACGCCATCTGCTTTTCTCAAAGGCTTTTCTTCTGTCATCGTCTCTCCAAATCTTACCTGAGAAAAAAAACAGCGTATACCATATTATGAAGATGTTATATATTTTACTAAAAATTAAAAAAAAAATACATTTTTTTCAAAAAAATGTTCACGAAAAAAAAATCGTGTTTCTGGGTCGAAATATACTACCCCTAAGAATATTTGCATTTATTTAAAACTCACCCTGTATTAGTTTCACAAATGATTTCCCACAAATATTAAAAATCAAAATAAATTCCAGTTCAATTATTTTTCTTGCAAATTTTAATTTAACCAAAGAACAATATAAATGTGAAAGTCTCCTTCGGTATAATAGATATGTCAATCATAATTCATAATGTCCTAAAATTGTTTTCTAATAATTCCTTCAACTAATATCTAATATGTTTAGATACATTATAGTAAATTAAAATAAATAAAAATCAAATGACAGTAATGAGCAAAAAAATATACCAGTTATTATATATATATATATATATATATATATATACCAAATAAATATAATTAATTATACCAAATAAAAAATATTATATTTATACCAAAAAATTATACCAGCATAGCTTATCAAAACAAATCAAATTTTGTAAAGTGAATTTTCTAAAATTCGTATTTTTTTTGATGTCTATGAAGTCGCGCTATTTTAATACATATGTAAGGCCTATAAATTTAATTATTAGTTCTGTATCCTTTATAGTAATTATATAAAGGGTAGCTTTATTTAGTATTAGATATACTCTACCGTGTATTTTTTAATTAAAATATTTATTAATTGAACCTATTTATATATTACTTTTTATATTTAGTTTTTGTCTACTTATAGATTGTAAAATCTGCCAATTTATTATTTTTTGTAATATGTTATTTATTTAATAAACAAATAATTTACAAACGTATTTCATTTCACTATTTCAAGATGCACGTTACAGAGGCTTCCTAAAGGCTTTACCGGCAAATCGAACATTGGGACCAAGTTCTTCTTCGATTCTTAGAATTTGATTATACTTGGCCAAACGTTCTGACCTGCAGGGTGCACCCGTTTTAATCTGACCAGTTGACAATCCGACCACCAAATCTGCTATAAAGGTATCCTCAGTTTCACCAGACCTAAAATTATTTCCAAATGAGTAAACGTATACAGTTGGTGGTGAAATATTTGTGGTTACAACAGTCAAATTAATAACTGGTCCTACACAAGACATCAAAATATTCACTTTTAAGAGCTCAAACGCACTGACGGCCAAGTCGCTGCTACCTCTATACCATTAAATCAACCTCTAATACCATTAAATCAAATGATAGAACGCGTACTATCGACCTGGCCGTTGGCTGGTCGCTGCGACCAGTAGACTGCACTAAAATATTATTTTCTGTCACTTGTTGCCGGTTTTCTTCCAAATTAATAATTTTTCAGATGAAATCCCTCAAATTTAACGCAACATTTTCTAAACGATATGGTGTTTTAGTGTAGTTTTTGCACACGTGCAGAAAAACCAAAAAAATAGTATACAGACTGGATCAAAGGGAAACTTAAATCTAGTCCCTTTTTTTCTTAAGAGTCGATTCTGGTAAAAATTCAAAACATTTTTATATGACATACTCTATTTCTGGTTGGTACGGTTAAAAAATAAAAAAATCATATTTAAAGTTTCTTTTTGATCTGCCTTGTATATCCTTTTCTTTTTTTTCCTCTACAATGTATGAAAACTATATTAATTCCCTACTGTAATTACAATTAACATTTTAAATGCATTATTTAATATCAGAACATTTAATAAACTCACGAATAGGAACTTCGCTTTTTAGTTAACTCGGATATTTTAACATTTCTGAAAACAATATTTTCTAATTGGTAGAACGTAAAAAATCGTTAGATCTGACGACCCTGCTGAAACTGGTCGTTCATCTGGACGCACTTATGTACGCAATATATCCGACCAGCCGACGGCGACGGCCAGGTCGCAACGACCAGCCAACGGCCGGGACGCTACTGCGCGTTGTATCAATTGATTTATGGTATTACGTGTGGCAACGACCAAGCTGCGACCGCTTGGACGTGGACGTTAGTGCGCGTTGTATCATTTGATTGGTGGTCGTTGGCTTGGCCGCTGGGACCTGGCCGTCAGTGTGTTCGAGCTCTAATACTACAAAACGTGCGATTTTCGAACCATGGTAGATCATAAAAAGTGTTTTTTTTTAAATAAATCTATACCGGGTGCGTCTCAACAGTGGCTCACCCCCTATAACTTTTTTATTTTTTCAGATAAAAAAACGAGAATTGGTATGTTAGTATATGACATAAATTAGGATTGACTGACGTATTCAATTGTTTTCGGTCACTTCCCGTTTCAACGGAAATGACCACAACTTTTGATTTTTATTTAGCACCCTCGGTATTTTTTTACTTTATTCGATAGAAAATAACACTCTGAATATAATGACATATCATATGTCAACTTTTTTTTTATATATGGTTTATTTGGAATTATAACTTGCGGTTCGTAACGAAAATTTGACTAGAAATACCAAGTATGTGGTATCAAATTATTCGTAAAAAAATGCTTTTTCTAAATATGCCAATGAGACACCCTTGTTCCATTTGAAAAAATCGAGATATGTTAAAAATAGGATTTGAGCATTTTCTAACTGGCCAGGACAAGACACTAAAATCATTAGATAATCAAATCTATTTTTCCAAGGCTCCTTGATTAAGAATTAGTGTTTTTAACATAGCCATGACACTCTAGATTGAATTTTAAAATACAATTTTTTATTAAGCGGGAATGTCAAAAGTTGACATAAGATATGTCATTCTATTCAGAATGTCATTTTCTATCGAATAAAGTAAAAAAATTCCGAGGGTGCCATTTAAAAATCAAAAGTTGGAGTCATTTCCGGTGAAAGAGGAAATGACCAAAAACAATTGAATACGTTAATCAATCCTAATTTATGTCATATACTAACATACCAAATCTCGGTTTTTTATCTGAAAAAATAAACAAGTTATAGGAGTGAGCCACTTTTGAGACGCACCCGGTATACAGGGTGGCTGAGCGTGCATTAGAAGTTTCTGGAGAACTACAACATCTAGCTCGGAGATTTTTTGCACATCATAATTTCACAACGGGATCTATCGATTAAAAATATTTTCAATATGGCGGCACTTCCGGAAATACCGGAAGTTGACAGCAACTTTCTTATGTTAAATGGGTGCCCCCATTTTTTATTACATACTTAAATTCTCTGTAAAATTTTATGAATTTTGATATTAAACACTCTATATCTAACATTGACCGTGTTTGAGAAAAAAATATTTATGATTTTTGAACGAAAAAAACTGCCTGTCAAAAATATGTGTATAGCCTAAACGTCAAATTTTGTGATTACCACAGCCACTGTGCCATAAAGAGAAAACATGTGGTTATCTATTTCAAAAATTGAATTGTTCGAATGTCATATAATAATGGCCGCAGCTGTCATAGAATTGAGCGATTTAAAATTTATCATAAGTCATTTTATCAAATGGAAACCCACTTTTTTTATTTCACTTGTGAAAAGGCTTTTCAATTCGTTACTTTTTGACTATACATGTTCCTATACCGAAAATAAATCGTTTTTAAGTTATTTAAGATTTAGTTTTAAAGCGTATATTTTCCTTGATTTTAACCAGTAGCCTATGACTTTAAACGTCAAGTGATTTAAAACAATAGATCTGGCCGTTTCATTTCGTATCGTATTGACGCTTTGTTCAAAAAGCAGCATCATTTCCGAGCCAACTTTGCGCTGTTTTTTTTTTCGATCATACGGAATATTATTAATAATATCAACTATTAGATATCACTAGAGATAAAGCTAAAGAGTGAAAATACGAGATATATTTTTATAAATACACTTTTTAAACTCTTAAGCAGGCAGTATTTATAATATAGGAATTTCAAATAATTCGTTTCCTGACATATGGAAATAAATTGTCTGACCGTTTGACACTTATTGTCAAATGGAAATTCCTTTGGGAAGCTAGATAAAATCAAGAAAAATATACGTTTTCAAATTAAATCGTAAATAACTTAAAAACGATTTATTTTAGGTATAGGAAAATATAGAGCTAGAAAGTAACGAATTGAAAAACCTTTTCTTTAGTAAAATAAAAAAGTGGATCTCCATTTGAAAAAAATGATTTATGATAATTTTTTAATCGCTCAATTCCATGACAGCTACCGCCATTATTATATGACATTTGAACAATTTAATTTTTGAAATAGATAGCCACATGTCTTCTCTTTATGCCATAGTGGCTGTGGTAATGACTAAGTTTGACTTTTAGGCTATACAATTTTTTTTGACAGGTAATTATTTTCATCCAAAAATTTTAAATATTTTTTTTTCTCAAAAACGGTTAATGGTAGGTATAGAGTATTTAACATCAGTATTCATAGAATTTTACAGAGAATTTAAGTATGTAATAAAAAATGGGGGCACCCATTTAAAATAAGAAGTTTGCTGTCAACTTCCGGTATTTCCGGAAGTGCCGCCATATTGAAAATATTTTTAATCGATAGATCTCGTTGTAAAACAATGATGTGCAAAAAATCTCCGATCAAGATATTGTGATTCTCTAGAAACTTCTAATGCACGCTCAGCCTGGGACACCCTGTATGCTAACGTAGTTATCGAAACACATGTCCAGTGTTAGGGTACGAACATAGTGGAGGCAGGTTTCTGCTTTCGTTGTTGCCGAACCAGCGCCGTCTCTGGGGACCTATTCTTGACCACTCGCATCTTCAAATATCGCTCGCATCTCGCATCTCCTAAAAAGCCATATAACAATACACAGATGCGTAACTTTGCGTATATGCATCACGTGTATTGTATATGGCTATTTCGGAGATGCGAGAAGGGTTCGGAAGTAGATAATTAAGAGGAAATTTACCTGATTAACTAACCTAACCTAACCTAACCTAACCATATAGACCATTCCAGAATGACGTCACTGACAGGTCGGCAAAATTTGCTGGGAGGCACACAAACCAATTAATTTTCACGTTGTCCATATGTAAACACAATAATCCAAGGTTTAAACGAACTTAAAACAGTGAAAATGCCTCATTTTTGTTGTGTTATTAAGTGTTTAATGCGTGATAATGTCTAATTTCTCCAAATCATGCTGCTTTAACCAACAGAGGAAATAATTTAAATGCATTATCTAATGTTCGAAGAGAAGTGTGGTTAAAAGCTTTGAAATGAAAGGCCCCTGTATGAAAGTGAGATTAAAAAGAAACGAATTTGTTCCAAAGACTTTATTATAACTGGTAAGTCCGTTTTGCAAAATTATCATTTATTGAGTTTAAATTAGCGAAAAATACGTTTCTGTTTTTAAGACGAATTATGTTAGGAGATAAGTCTAATTCAGTCAAAAATTGGGATATTCTTCCTGTCTTCAACTACTTCCTGTCTTCAACCCATCTTCTAGATTTGACAGAGTAAGAAAAAGATTTAAAAATGAATCAGAGGTTTGTTATTTATACTAAGATATATACAAGCGTATAAAGTATTTTTATTTTTAGCTAAAGATGTTGCTATAAAAGATGAAAATCGACCAGTGAATTTTCATAATCCTCCAATCGTTAATTAACTTTATTCAATTTAAATCGTCTGAGATAGAAGACGATAAACCCAAATACACGACAAGGATTGCACTTCTGGAAGATCAGCTGAATAAGAACGATAACCGGACTGTGTTCAGATCAAATTTCCACCAAGAATATTTTTCGTGAAGTCTCGACTGAGTATGCCTATAATACAAGAACTGTGGATTTTGAAATCCTAAGATAGCTGAGCCTCTATGAGAAGGGTCCTTGGTACATGAGTGTAAAGTTGTTTATTAGGTTGCCACTTGAAGTCAAGTTAATAGAAGTAAAGAGTAGTTTGAGACAGAAGTAAAGAGTAGTTGCACAATTGAAAAATTTGTTAATTTGATATAGAGCCATATTTCTCAGATTTCCTGTAGACAAGTCAATAAATATTGTGTGACGTCATTTCATTTTCTGTATATACTATTTTGTATTTTTACATTTGTATGTTACATTCCTTGAATTAAAGATTATTATTATTATTAACTACTAATAAATGTAATTTATTTAAATATAATACGATTTAAAAAAAATATGTGTCTATTTTTAATAGTATAAACCTTGGTTTATAAAGTTTAAATATTATAAATTATTATATATTAATTTTAAATAATATCTGAAATATCAATCCATGAGTTAAACCTGGTAGAAAAGCATAACCACTTCACATAAAATTGTTTATTATTATTTTTCTGGTGGTGACCTAGCATTATTTCAACTAGATCAATACCAGGAGACTTTGTCTTCTGTAATTCGGCCTCATAAAAATACCCCTTAATTGGTTGACCTACTGATTCTAGGATAATTAAAATTGAGGATTAAAGAAAATCAAGAATTAAAAAAATATGTCTATAACGCCACAGATTATACAGATAATCATCTTTGTATTTTCTTTATTGTTTTTCGTGGTTCCAATTTTCGGAATCGGGCACTAGTTAGGTGACTAGTTTGCGCACATGGCACGCCCACTTATGGCCTCTAAAATTGTACACAGCGCCTGACCGGCACAGTTATTAAAGAGATATCGGAAAACCGAATAGCGTCATCCAGTATTTACGCGTACCTTATCATGGTTACGATATGCGCGAGTCAATTTTTAACGCAACACCCGCTAATAACGTTACCGCCTGACGTAATATGCGGATCAATTACACCAAGCGCTCTTTCTAAATAACCTCTGATAACGTTTAAAAATTGCTTAAATGGGCATGTGCGGGTATTTGACAACCGGAGCCGGCCGGCGAGATCTTTTATTTTAGGTTACGTTTGAATTGTTTTGAATTATTGCTTTAGTTTTATTAGGTAATTTGATATTTAAGGAGCTGGGATTAGTTTTAATTAAATAAATATGGTCCAAAATATGGATTCCACCTCTTCCAATACTAAAGAACCTATAAAGAGTCTTAGGTTTACAGCAGATAACGACTTAGCCCTTCTAAGAGAATTTGTTGCTTGTTGCCCTAAACCCACTGGCAGACGTTGAACAATAAAGCACTGGAAATAAGCACTTTAGCCCTTTAGTTTTAAAATACCTAGTAAAAACAACAATTTCAAAGTTTTAAATTCAATGTTAGGTTAAGTTTAAATAGCGGACGCGACGCGATCAGAATTCTTTCCGATCCAATAACTATAAATGAAGAGAGTTAATACCACCTCACGTAAAGGAAATAACACCTGGCCTTATTAACGTCCATGCACGCTATTCGGTTTAGCGATATCTCTCTATTACGCTGTTTATTGTTATTCTACACGAGTTTATTTTTGCGCACAGGAAATTTGACTCGTTTGCACATCGTCATAAAACAATTTTCGTACCACGAATTAGGGACAAGATTTTTATCTGTATACTTATAGGATACCTAATCTGTGATAACGCTATAAAAGACTAAAATCACAAAGAAATGAATGCAAGTTAATGGTTTATATACGGTTTGTATGCCTCCCAGCGAAAATGGCGGATCTGTCAAAGTCACGTGTTCTGGAATGTTCTATTAAAACGCCGCGCCCGCCGCGCCGGCGCCGCACATAGGGGTATTTGGTCTATAAACCTGGCCAAAAGTGAAATATTTTTATTTTCATTTTTTATCTTAACTGAATACAAATCTATAAATACTAAATGTAAGCGCGTTTATTAGCTTTTTTTAAGTCGTAAGTTGACTATCAAATAAATAATATATTTCAATTATAAGTATGAATTATCTTGAGTGTATTCTGAATATTTCTAAGATTGTAAAATAGTGGAATTGTTTGTAGCGCTTTTTTTGTGCAAATTGTTTATAATAACTGTCATGATGGATACAGAGCCAGCTGGCAAGTCCTGCTTTATGCCATATTTTTATTTTGAAACGTTTCCTGCTATTCTATTTCTTTATAATGTTTTATATTTAAAAAATCAGAGGCATTTTTATAAGGTGTAAGACTATTCGGCAATATTCCGCATGGAAATTAGTATCCGTTCAATGCTTAAAGTCTCCAGCTTTGGAATATGTACAAAAATCTTGCCAATATTTGGCACTGCCAAAAAAAAACATTGATTTAAATAGATTCTTAAAGGAAATAGTATTTACCCTATAACACCCATCCTCGCTCAAATATCGTCTATAATATACAAAGTACTTTCTTGTTCTAGCATCCTCATCCAATTGCTTGGTTTTGCACAGAATGACCCTATTTGATCGGTGGAAAGGGTTTCAGAGTAAAGGAAAAAACATTGTGTAGGAAAAACAAAATAGGGTGCCATATTAGCACCCTCTCCTCTAATAATTAATATTACTAGCAAAAAAGCAAAAAAAAATCATAAAACATAATTTTGGCCAACCTTTAGTTCTTAATACCCCTGCGCGCCGTCGGCGTCGGCGCGTGCAAAAGCAGAAATAAATAAATTATCGTTCGGGTAAAAGCGAGAACGCCGATGAACGCTGGTTGACGGCGCCTACCTGCTTTCACTGCGAACTAGCCGATTTGATAACACGCTTTAATTTTTCAAGGTTATAAGCGCGAGGCGGCGCGGCGCGGCGCTACTATGTACCCATATACAGGGTGTCTCAGAAATAAGTGCAAATATTTTAACTTAACTGGTAGTATAGTTCAACCCCAGAAACACGCCTATGAGGTTTTTTTCGCGAAATTTTTTTGGAATTTTTTTTTAGTTTTTATTTAAAAAAAATAATTTCTTGTTAATATGGCAACATAGGTAGTAGATTAAATTTACAAGAAAGAAAATCCAGAAAAGATCCAGTGGTTCTCAAAATTTTAGCAAAAAATCACTTTTTTTGGAAATTTTCACAGTAAAATCACTCCGTTATTTTGGACTTATTTGAAAAAGATAAAGAGAAAATATGTTTCTATTATCGAGATCTACCACCTCTTAAAATACTTGCACTTATTTCTGGGACACCCTGTTATACGCAAAGTTGCGAACGATGTCAAGAATAGGTACCCAGATCCTCGCCGACTACCGGTAAGCGGCAAACCTGCTTGCACTGTGTTCGCACACTTACAGTCATTTCTTTTATTGTGATGAACTAGTGGTACATTTTGCTGAGTAAACTTTCTATTATACAGGATGGTCCGAACTGTATTCCGAAAACTTTGGCAGCATATTCTGCAGGTATAAATAAGTAAAAAAGTTCGTCTAAATGTTTGTCCTAAAATGCTTAGTTTCGGAGATACAGGGTGTAGAAGTTTCATTTTTATTTCGATTTTTTCTAAATAATTTCTTAAGTATCGTGAATATTTGGATGAAAATTCGTATCTGGTATTTTTTGGCATGAGAAATTTGATTTTGATGTGAATATGGCTTCTACTTATAGAGGGCGCCACCTCCATATTTTTATGAATTGATTTTTAATTTTTTATACTTGTTGAATGATTCTGCGTGTTAGCAAAGATACTTTTTTTATTTACTGACCTGTGTGAAACCATAGTACCCCAGCCATTCTGTTTCGCTAATAAATGGGCTCGTATAGCTTCGGTAACAGTCCCGATTTGATTCACTTTTAATAGCAAACAGTTGGAAGAGTTTTTGTCAATAGCCATCTGTATTCGCTTAGGATTAGTAACTAAAATAAATATATAGGTAATGTAGACATAATTATTACTTTTTAGGGTTCCGTATCCAAAGGGTAAAAACGGGAACCCTATTACTAAGCCCGCGGTTACATTGGTCCGTGCGTTTCTTATACGTGCGAGCTCTGATGGAATTTACTCGTACGACTATTTTATTTTAGTGGTTACATTAGATGCGCGTTCATGGTGTCCTTTGTGTTGAGTTTGTCAAAACAATCGCCACTATTCTGATGCTGTGTGAGGATATAATGTAAAAATAACTACTCATGAAAAGAAGAAAATGTTGGGATTTACATATATGCAAGAAGAGGAGAAGAAAATGAATATGTAAAACATTTCGTGAATTAAAACAGCAACCGGTAAAATTTTTTTAATATTTTAGGATGTCTCCATCAACATTAATATATCCCAAATAAAATTAAACCTAGTATTCAAAAATATTCAAATTTTTCGGGAATGTATTGAGATCAGAGAAGAAAAATTTGAACGCTCGGACGTGTGCGTATTAAAAAACAGATCAGTTTATTTTCATCCGACCACCGAAAATTGACGTACAGCTGGTTCCAATAAAATTGAATACGATTTAAAACATATTTTTATTATTTCGAGCAGTATATTTTATGATACCAGTCCCCCATTTCTCTACTCATGCTGACGTTCTGAAAAATTTATTTGCCACTTTGTGAAAAGCAAAGTTGTTTTTTACGTCACAATAACCTTAACATGTCAATATACTTGACACATAAATATACACTGCCCAAATATTCGAAAAAAATGTGTAAAGAGTCGTATTCATTTTTTTTGGAACCAGCTGTACGTGCACAGACGCGCAAACTCCGATGCAATGTAACCGCCTGCGTAGATAGCATTTGTTTGTTTTTTGCTGCGTGCACGTCCGTGCACGTGCGACCAAATAACGTCCGTCCGTCTGTCACAATGGTCTATCTTATCAACCGTTATAGCTAGACAGTTGAAATTTTTACAGATAATGTATCTATGTTGCCGCTATAAGAACAAATACTAAAAACAGAATTAAATAAATGTACAAATAAAAAAGTACTTTCACTAAACATTATCTTTTAAGTAAGAATTTTACGTAGAATCTTTCAAGTCCTCGATGGGCGCGTGGTTTAAAGCGTTAGGACTTTACTCTGCTATGACGTTGGAGCCGTAGTAAGGCAGGTTCGAATCCTAGTCAAGGCGACTTTTTTTTAATCGTTATTTTTTAATTTTTACATATTTTTACATATTTATTTTTACTTTTTACATATTTATTATTGATTAATACAATTTTTAGTAATGTGTTTCTTCATTTTTTGTTAAATTACTTATACGCGCATTCAAAATGTCAGCTAAATCGGAATAAAAATTAGAATAATATAGTGTCTAATGTTGTATAGATAATGAATGGTACGGAACCCTTCGTGCGCGAGTCCGACTCGCACTTGATTTTTTGATGAATTTTTCTTATATTTTTCTCGTAACAAGATATTTGAAAAACAAAATAAAAAAAACATCGAGATTTCTTTCAAATTTTAAAACCCTTCGCTTTATACATTGAATGTCTTAGGAATTAATCTGCTGTTATTTTTATTCATGTGTTAGGGACGGAAGCGTCATGTCACAGTTTTGAAAAACTTGGAAAAGCGGTGGAAGGCTAGCCAGTGCACCAAAAGCAAATTTTACAAAAATAACCATGGTTATCAAAGACACTGTTTTCAGTATGGAAGACTCGAAAATTCTGGAACGCGATCCAAGCAAAAGTTGAAGAATTAATATCTGTCACTAGCACCAATGAACTTTTATTTGCCACTCAAATAAGTTTGAGAAAACAAGGAAGACGAAATGCCGCAAAATTAATTGAAGACATTGTTTCATCACCATCACCCTCTACCTCCGCTGGAAGCAGTAAAAAATCAATAATATCAAGCCAATGATAGCATCAGAAGCATTAGCATTAATTGTCAATACAAGAAGTAGCAAGTCAACGTATTTGTCATATAGAAAAGCTGCCAAAGAGTGCTCTTCCAATATATATCCATCATGGCAATGATGATGCTCGTATTAGCAGAACACGTGTCACATAATTTAGTTTTAATATACTATAATTCTCTATGAGACCGAGATTTTGAGTCTTTTTTCCTCTTCTCTTTTAATGAACATACTGACTCGACCTAAAATAAAACCAGCCACTTCTTGCGTCTACCCAACTTTATATTTTATCCACGACACTTTATTAAATAATTAATAATATAAAATCTCGTCTTAAGTAGAATATTGATTTATTAATCAATATTCTACTTCCTAGCTAAAGGAATATGGTGCCCATATTTGTAATAGAGTGAAATATAACAGCTGATAACAGTGAATTATGATAAATCACACTTTGCATTTACTTTACATTGTTGCTATGCCAACGTGACACTCACAACATCCCGATGCGCGGCGTGGATGATTTGATGTTTTTCTTATCTTTTCTTTTTATTAATTTTGACGTTTAAAAGTGTCAAATGTTAAGTAGGTAGTGATTATTAAGTGGCATATCGTCGGTGACCTGGCAATAGCTCCTATGTCATTTAACCTAAATTTTACAGGAGACAAAAAAAATGCAATAAATCTATGAATTGCTTGATTTTTAATTATTTTTCAGTCATAGATATGTAATTAAGTGTGCTGAATTTGATTTTTTATGTAAATTTTAACAATATTTTGCTCTTATTGTTTAAAATTCGATAGGAGATATTGTTTTCGTCCAGACTTTTTTACATTTAGGAGAAGTTGGTATATCCGATATCCAGCGTGTAAACAAACATAGCGCGACATACTTGTAGTTTCTCCTTTCTATCATTTAGATAGTATGAGTAAGTGCCTAATCTTCTTGACTGCTCTTTAGTCCTTTTAAAAGTTGGGGTTTTTAATTCATGTGACGCTACAAAGGTCTTGCGCTGATCCCAGTTAAGACTCCAGAATTTTTCGAATATTTCCTGTCGGCAATTATCTGTAAAATCCTTACAATACCTCACTTTAGATTTTAGGCATTTGCTTGAGCTACACGTCTCCTTCAACAATCTTGCTTTTCTTGGTTGATTTTGCTTGATCTTTTCTCCTTTCTTTTTCTTAAATCCTAAATAAGCCTTGCCTTGCATTCTCAGCCTTTTATTTTTGTTTCTTATCCATTCGTTTTTTTCTGATTTTATCTGTCGTTTTCTTTCGCTGTTTATATTATTATTGTTCATGCTTTCTTCTGATTTTCAGTCCCTTTCTCGGCCTCTTCAGAGCTGGCGTCTGTATCATCTTCATGGTTATCTTCGGTAGTACTGGTATCTGAAAGCTCTGGACTGACACTGGCACTTAAATATTGATGAGTTTCACGGACGAATTCATCATCATCAATGGTACCTGAGGGCTTCTGACTATTACTTGCGACAGCTAAATGATTATGGGTTGCAAATACTTCTTCTTCATCACTGGTACTGGTACACTCATAAGGAACAAGACATGGTTTAATTTTTGCACTTTTTACTTCCAATGAAGTTGTTTGGTTATTTGTATCACAATTGTTGCTGTTTGTACTATTTGGTATAGTGTTTATCGAGCAGTATTCTATATTACAGCTTTCAGTCTGATTACCATTCAAATAATTTTGTAAATCAAAATTATCATTTTCAGTCAAGGAAAGAGAAGCATCTTCTGGTAAAAATATTACAGGAAGATTTTTTATATCCAATATATTATTATCTAGGGGTAAAAAAGGTAACCTAACATAACAGTTCTCGGTATCAATCTTCTCTTTTTCTGCACTGCTTGCATTTTCGTAGTTTTCGGCATCAATCTTCTGTTTTTCTGTACTTCTTGCATTTTCAATTTCATCTTCATGGTTCATAAGATTTTGTGTTCGTGTCAAAGGTAAGATGTGTAATGTTCTTTTAGACATTATGCATTCTGGATACTTCAAAGCAACACCAATCCGTTATCTAAAAAGTGAAATCACATGACAAAATACTAACCAAATAAATTTTAAGGATTACTTCTCTCGTCTTAATTCCCACCAATTTTGTTTAAAACAAACGCGCAATTTTGAATTACAAATGGTTTCTAGATGGAAAAACTGTATGACAGCACCTGTCAGCAGTTTTTTTCGAGTATACCCGCGGCAAAACTTGATAGCTGCTGTCACCAAAACTTACAATTCCTTTGATAACAAGTAATGAGACAATCAGGATCAGGTCTAATATTATGTATCACTAACGTTTCCTGTAATATTCACGTTATCAAACAGGTCACGTGTGATCGAGTACCAGTGGTCATTCGATCACAGGTGACCAGTTCGATAACGTGAACATTACAGGAAACATTAGTAATAGTATAATGGGTATAGGTAGTATGTTTTGTAATCACAGGTAAGTACAGGTTCAAAAATACTTGTCTTTGACTCGGATTTTTGTTGCCACCAGCACTCATGCATCTTGTTTAAATATTACTTAGCAACGTATTTTGTTTTTGTTTTTTTTTCGCAAAAATTAGATGCCCTTATGACTTACATAAAAAACTTATATAGAAATAACTTTGTACATATAAGCAAAAGTCTTAAAACAAGTCATATATTTTAATGATGTTTTAAGACATCCGGTATAGTATGCATACTTACAAATTTATAAAAATAGGTAATTAGTTCATGAAATAGCCAAAGACTACTATAAAACTTACTAAAACTTAGATAAAACTAGTCGCAATTTCTCCTATCTTAAATTTTAAGTGAGTACGGTTCCGATGCAAATTCTCCTATCTGAAAAAAAAAAAATTAAAATAAGTTTTTATTATTCAATAACAAAAGTAACGAGTTATATTCTATAACAATATTTCTAAAAAGTTGCTATTGTATTACTTTAAAAAACTTACCAAGTTCTACATTTTTTCACAAAAAAACACAAGCGGTTCACACACATGCGTTACTCTTATGGCGACACAATGTAAACTGACAAGAGAGGACGTG